TAGCCCCCAGTCTCTGGACGATTAGCCCCCAGTCTTAGTTTATGTAAAGGAGAAGTTACGTTCATTTGTTGGTCATTGACTTTTATGAGTTTGTGGCTCCTAAAGGAGCCCTTTTTTTTTGTGAATGTCTATCTATATTAACATTTACTCAATTTAAATCACATGGGTTGTACGAGGTGAGCACCAGTCACCAGCGGGCGGTTTTAACAGCGTTGCGGTAATCTGCCTGCGACACGCCCGATTGACATTAACAAGTAGTCGCCAATAAGTTAAAGTTTCGAAGTTTCGTCCCTGGTTTCTTTCCTTTCCTATTTAAACAACATGACGGAGAAACATTCGTAACGTATGTAAACAGAAAGAACACAGTTCATTTTTGTAGAATATATAAACAGAAAGAACACAGTTCACTTTATAATTCGATACGCACGGCAGAGAAACGTTCATAACAAGCAAACAACAAGACAGCAAGAACGCAGTTTACTTTATAATTTAACACGCATGGCAGAGAAATGTTCCTAAAAAGCAAATAACAAGAACATTGTTTATTTCATAATATATGATAGGGAAGCGTTCGTAAAAAGTAAAGGGCAAGAACATAGTTTATTTCAAGGTTGGTGGGTTGGGGGCTAATAGTCCAGAGACTGGGGGCTAGTCGTCTGGGGCTAATTGTCATACATACATACATACATACATACTTTATTTGTCACGTAGGTCGATAAATGGCAGCTAAAAAGCTGATGTGGACCTACAAAACTAAAGAGTGTCTACAAAATTTAAATAATAACAATAACAAGTAGCGAAATTATGGTAAGTAAGAAAGGATGTAAGACCTAGTAATATAATATACAGTTGATTTACAGTAGTAATAAAAAGTAATAAAATAAATAAAAGTAGTAAAATAGCTTTAATATATGTAATTTACAACGTCTTTATTTAGTCCCTGTAAACCATTAAATGTTATTTTATCTAAAATGTCGGATTTTGCTTTGAGAGCAGATTTGAAAGAAACAATGTTCGGTTTGCTCTTCAAGTACACGGGTAAGTTGTTCCATAGAACAGACGCATGGTGAGAAAAAGAAGATCGACGGAAGTCACTTTTAGGGCGTTGCACGAATAGCTTCAGATTGTCCCTTAGATTTCTCAACGGAGAGTGTTTAGTAAACAAAGAGCTTATAGCAGCCGGAGCTCTATTGTAAAATGCCTGATAGGATATAGTGGCAATCCTCTTTTTATAGAAATATGATAAGGACTTCCATTTTGTCGCTGCCAGAACTTCAGTATTGGGGTAGATTCCTTTAGGTTAAAAAATAAATCTCGCGGCTCCAATGTGAATGTCTTCCAGTGTCTGAAGTGACTTAGAAGATCCCCATAATGCAATAGAATACGCAATACTTGGAATGATACCTTTGAAATAAATTGACTCTAAGAGGCGATTGTCGAGTCCTTTTAGGTGTTTGAGTTTCTTCACTCTTGCCGAAAAACGTTTGCTCAAAGATTTTATATGTGGCGACCAAGAGAGTTTATTATCGATAAGAATCCCTAAACATGTAGCTTTGGAAACAAATGACAACTCATTTTGCCCTAAACAAATTTTCTGTAGGGGTCCGATGAATCTTGATTTTGATAACAACATTAGTTCACTTTTTTGCGGGATGAATAGTCATGAAGTTATCCTTAGCCCATTTGTTTAAGTCAACGATCGCTTTCTGTATCTTAAATAAAACTTCATCAACAGTATTTCCAATGCAAAAACAGTAGTATCATCTGCAAACATTTCAACGGAAGCGTTAGTTGTGGCTCCGGGCAGATCATTTGAGTAAATGCTGTAAAGTCTAGGACCAAGTAAAGACCCTTTGGGGTACACCCGTATCTATTTCCAACAATTCTGAGTTTGAACCATTTACGGTGACAAATTGTTTACGATTATCAAGATAATTTAAGAGCCAATCGTAAAAAGAGCCACTAATACCTATAGAGTGTAATTTATCCATAAGAACTGTGTGGTTGACGCAATCAAACGCTTTCCGAAAATCAATAAAGACTACGCCAATAATATTGCTTTCATCCAAGGCTAAACGCCATCGTTCTGTAACGGAAAGTAAGAGCAGCTCGGGTGAGCTTCCTTTTCTGAAGCCCCATTGATTTAAGGAGATCAGATTGTTGCTATATAAGAAGTTATCAAGTTGTTGGCTTACAACATTCTCCAATAGCTTGCCCGGAATGCTAAGAAGGAAATAGGCCTGTAGTTTTCACAGTCGAGAGTATTCCCCTTCTTGTGAAGACATTTTACCTGTGCCTGTTTCCACTGGCTGGGGAGTTTGCATTCCAAAATACTTCTTTGAGCCAGTGGCATAAAGCAATCCAAAAATGCGTCTCCAATAAGGTACAGCTCTTTGCTGGATATGTCATCAGGTCCACTCGCCTTGCCAGGTTTCAAACACCTTAGAGAAGATTTTAAAAGGTCTCTGTTAAGGGCTATGTTATAAAGAGAGGCACTGATTTTTCTTGCGGACTGACAAGGAGAGTTTACTGAAGAATCTTGTGTTGATTTCGAGAGGGATTTTCCAACATTGACAAAAAAGGAATTTAAAGTGTTGGCCTTTGATGTATCGTCTGCGTGAATAACTCCGGAACTATCTTTAATCGGTCCGATATTTGTAGCTGTTTGTTTTCCCTCGAAAGATCTTACTGTCTTCCAAAAATCTCGAGCAGAGGTTGTCTCATTAAATTTTGTTAGCCAATAACTTGATTCCGCTAATCTAAGGAGTTTGGTGCATTTATTTCTTGCCTTCTTGTAATCTATCCAGGCTTGTGAGCCCTTCGGTGTTTTCTGTGCTTTAAGGAGTAATTTGTAGCGTTTGTTCAGCTCTTTACGTATGGAAGAGTTCATCCAGGGTAGGCCCCCTCTTCTTATCTTTACTCGTCGAGCATGAAGGTGAGATTTCATAATGTCCTTGTATAAATACTCCCAAGCCCAAGTAGCATCGTCCAGATTGTGAAAGACATTGCAGATACTCCATGGGGCTGCAGCAAAGTCCGTTCTTAATGAGTCTAGATCTACTTTTTTATAATCGTAGACTGTTTTGAGCGTTGGTTTCTGACGTTTTCTTTTGAGGTTTACGATTGCATATATTAAGTGGTGATCTGAGATTCCTAAATCACAAACACCCTGGTGAGAAATTTTTGAGGTGTCAGAGCAAATCACCAAATCAATCAGCGTTGTGGAGGTGTCAGTGATCCTTGTTGCCTTGTTGATGACATTCTTTAGATTAAATCTATTCAAAAGTTGACGGAATTTCCAGGTTGAAGAATCTGTGTCCCTGGATTTAGGCAAAAGATTAAAATTGAAGTCCCCCAATAAAATTATATTCGTTCGTTTCATCCATATGCGATCCAAAGTAGAAGAAAATTTATTTAAAAACGTAGTGTCATCGGGTGGGCGATACATTGAAGCAACTAGAAGTTTCTGAGACGCCACCGTAACGTCAATCCACGCAGCTTCTAGAGAGTTGTTTACATTTATGTCTCGACGCTCATATGCATCTAAGTATTCAGCAAAGTAGATGACCGTGCCACCGCCTTTTCGACCATCGTTTCGATCGCATCGAGCAGTTTTGTATCCAGTAATGGCGATTTCGTCGTCAGTAATATCCTTACCTAGATGGGATTCAGTTATGGCTAAAATGTCAAAATTCATCGAAAGTAAAAGAGCTTTAATTTCCAATAACTTGTTAGGAAGACCATTTACATTGATGTGTGAGATCTTCAAACCTGGTAGTTGCAAGTCCGCTTTGAGTGATGGATAAAGATGCGAATCAGATGAGCAACCTAGTGTTGGTAGTTGCAGGTCCACTTCGAAAGATGGATAAAGATGCGAGTCAGATGAGCAATCTAGGTTTGTCTCATTGTCGAATGGTAAAGACGACCAAAGGCAAATCGGACACCACCAGGAAAATGAAGGAAGTCTTTGATAGTTCTTATATTCGCTTGGCCTGATCGAGGCACATTTTATGTGACACCACATGTTGCAGTTATCGCAATTTACCGCTCGATGATTTCGGGCAACACGCTTGTTACACACTGAACATTCATCTGGACCAGGATTTATGTCGATGTCCCCACTTGTGTAGAGTCGCATTTGATGGAATGTTGAGTGCGAGTTCGCATAGTAACATATCCTGGTCGCATGAAAACCTCGCACATGCCACAACAGGCCAAGATGGCGGATCGTTTTCGTCTTCCGTTGATTGCAGAGGCTTGCGTATACTGATATGAGAAAACGCCTCGACCACGAGAAATTCTTCGTGATGGAGATTTTGCTATTTTCTTGAAGAGAAGGCTGTCTTTCGGCGAATTTGGTGAGCGATAAGAATAGTATTGACGCGTAAAAGCAGGAGAAAATCAGAGCACGTCCTCGCGCCATTTCGTTCCAGCACTACCCCAGGAGGCGAGTTGTCCGGATACCGTGAATTTACCTGTCTTCGTTTATTTAGAATTACAGAAACGTGTCAAGTATGTCACGTGACCCTTACAGTACATTATAGCTCAGATGAGCTACAGTTGTTGGTTTATATCGTAAAATAGGTTTTGGTTAGTCATCGTGAGACAAACGATTCCATCTCTCTTTCAAAAGTAGTTGGTTTCTGAATAAAATCATTTTCTTTTTTCATAACTGTTGCCTTCTCCACTGGACCTCTGTATTCTGATTGAATTATGACGAAAATTTATTCTGTATGAATGAAAATACACTGAACGTCTTTTCCCCTTACTTCCGATAATATGCCTCGACTCTCTTTGAATCAAACTCCCGATCAAGTCTTTATTATATCAGGACCTAATAGGAGGTACAAAAGCCGTCGTGTATCTTTCTCCCGTGTGAAGTCTGGAGCGAGCCTCGACATCATACACGCGTGCGATTAAAAAGCCTCATTGTCATGCCAGAGATGGCCGCTGCGTGAAGGGAACGTTCTGAGTACTTGCGACAAACTTCCACGAGCAGAATGCCGGCGATCGGTGTTATTTACCCTCCGCCGGAGGTGAGAAGTATCTTTCCTTATGTATGCAACGTTTTTGTGGTCATACAATAAGGCGTTGTCTACGTCGTATTTCACTCATAAGACGTTACGTTGTAGGAACACTATTTGTCTCGTTGCTTTTATTTTGACTTTGCTTCGTTTACCTAGGAAATATCAAAGTAAATGAAAGTTACGTTACCTTCGAAAAGTCCTGTTATGATCGTGTAAATGCTGCTTAAGTGAATTAACTTCCCCCGAACGAAGCGAAGCTCTTTCATAACTAGTCTGTTATAGGGGTATTTTGTTCATAGTAGATAAATCATATACATGTAAACCTTAACTTGATGCTCAGATATTGTTGACAAGACTGCGAGCTTTGTTGCTAGAAACGGTGAGTAGCAATTCATAGTATGTCAATAGATCGACATTAGACGTAAGAATTTAAATTACTGTAATTGCATGTTTAGATCATACACGTCTGAATGATTGTAAAGATGCTGTGAATACGAGTGAGGTCTTGGTTGACACGCTAGTATTTGATTAGATGACCATAAATTATTTTCATAGGTGCAAGTTCGAAAAAAAAAATTACCTTAATAAAGAAACTTTTGATTTAGTGTCATGAGACCAAGGAATCTCACTGGCCAGTAAGGAGAGAATCTCAAGGAGCCAATGAGAACTCAAATGAAAAACCCATATTCTGCACTGCTTTAAGAAAATGTGGTGATCAGGTGGCATTCAGCTTTAGGTTTGGATTGTTTCAGTGGGAAGGGTGGTGTAAGTTTATGTGAACAGTTAAAGAACAAAGAAAAAAACTTTGCAATTCCAGATTACTTTTAACACTCAATGGGATTTTGCTCTAAAAACACAACAGCAGTTGCCTCAGTGTATAATGGAAATGCATCCCAAGAAACTGATATTTTAGCATATAGCACTGTCTGTTCAGTGACAGTGTTCAAGTAAAAGCATGATTATAAAATACAACTGGTAACCTAGATGTACATGCTCACTGGGGATTGTAGACAGTAGAATTATTCAGTGAGTAGACAAAAATCTCTTTTTAACAAATGGCTTATGTGTTGCCATGTATCTGTTCAATAATAGACCAAGGATGACTTTGAAATGTGATTGGAACAGCAAAAACGTTTTTCTTAGCCTAGTGGTTCTTGATGTTGTCTGTGATCTATTGCTGCACAGATACATAGAAAAATGGAATCCATTTGTTTAATATAATAAAGAAAAATACTTTGTCATTGTCATCTATGCATCAGTCCTGTGATAAATCATAGATAAGAAGCAATCAAAATCAATGCATCCTTCTGCTTATTACAGCTGTGTATATGTTTAGTTAAATTTTTATGTGCTGAGTTTTTTGGTTTTTAGAAAGGGAGAACATCCCCCTGTTACTTTTCACTGTTCCTAAGTCACTTCATTTGTGATTACACTGCTTTGAGAAAAGGGAATTGTGTGAGTAGTTTTTGAATCTGCTAGATTGTCATTGTTATTTGTTTGTTGCAGGACCGGAATTTGAATCACGAATCAGACAGAATGAAATAAACAATCCTAAATTTAATTTCCTGAATCCTGGAGATCCCTACCATGCGTACTTCCAACAAAAAGTTACAGAGATTAAAGAGCAGGATGACAAAGGTGAGTAAAAAGAACATGATACAGATCAACTTGAATAATTTGAAAAGAAAAAGAGAATCACAAGAATCACCAGTATGTGATTAGTGATTTATGGACTTATCTTTGGTAGAGGGTTTGGACAGTGCTGTAAAGAGAGCTGTAGCTTTCCACTGATGTGACTCAGGTCTGATGAGGGTTTGAATTTTGGACTCAAAGGGTCTCAAAGTGACTAAGTGTCTTTGTTGCCAAGGGTTTTTTTGTTTTTTGTTCCACGAGACCCGGCTCTCTCAACACTAAATTTTTACCTGGAATCACTGGGGGCAATTTTTTCCTTGAAAATTCCACAATTGTGATACTTGATTAATACATTTTTGATATTATCATATGTCTTGTGCCAATCTGTAGTTCAAACTAGATCAGAAGTACCTACCTGCAATCAAACTGGACATGGAATTTCATTTCGGAACTTTATTTTACATACATGTACATGCAGTTTTTGAAGCTATTAATAGTATAATCCACAAACTATATGATACCTAAAGAAATTCAATATATGATGTTTTCATCAGAACCAGAGGCCATCCCAGCAGCTCCTGCTCCACAGAAGGTAGAAACACAAGGATGTTTAATAACTACAATATTGACCCTTATTGACCCTTTCACTTCTAGGATCTGAGAGAAAATTCTCTAAATGGAGGCCAAACAATATAGATCTTTCAGAATTAATCTTGAGAATTGGTTGTTACAGCCTGATGTGATACCTGTTTGTAAGTTGACAGTACAGAATTAAAACTCAACACTCAATTCTCCAAAGTTTAGTCAACTAAATCTTTTCCAGCCTCCATGATGACCAAAAGTGTCACAGCTTGGAGTGCTTCAGAAAGGCAGTGAGATTGCTTTGCAAAACTCAAAATGGTGATGTTCATCGTCAATTTTTAAGCATTGTCAAGGATGAATGAATGGGTAGCTGCACACTTTGATCATTTGAACTCTATTTCTCTTTGATTTTAGCCAAAGCCTCTGATGCAGATCCCAGTGACAATTTCAGAGCCACCTGTACCTAAAGAACCTCCCCCAGAGTTTGAATTCATGGCTGATCCACCATCTATATCTGCATTAGATCTGTGAGTAAACTTAAAATTTGTATTTTACTAAATGCATGCCTTTCTCTCTAGAGTTGTGTACATTTACAATCAGTAACCTTAGGTGTATTTTACTATAAATTGTTGTTATTGTACTTGATCTTAATACAATCTGTTTACTGATAATCCACTGAAAACTGACTGGCATGTTACTGCTGTTCAGTTGGTACTGATACAATGTACATGTGCTTGTAGCCCTAGCTTTCTGAAATATTCTCCCCAAGATACTGTCACTGTACAGTAAATTGTTGAATTCTTATGACAAGACTTGCCATGCATTGCGTCTTTAATTCACCTCAATGAAATATTTTTGAAGGAATCAATTCAGTTGGTAGCTATAAACTGAGAGTTTTAATTAATCCTTTCTGGTCCACTGGTGACCAAGGAGGAAATTTTCATTACCTAGTACACTTCCAATCAGGAAATTTGATAGGAGGAAAGAAATATATCAACTGGGGAATATTTTTTGATTTAACACCGAAGCAAAGCATAAGCAAAAGTAAGGAAAAACACTGTAAGATGGTGTAGAGAATTGATATAAAGGTACATGTAGGTCTTGGGAGTGAAAAGGTTAGTAACTCACTCAATAACTTTTCTGATTAATGCAAATCATTGCTTTATATTCCTTTGAAACACGCAGGAATATCGTTAAACTGACTGCACAGTTTGTGGCAAGGAATGGACGTCAGTTCTTAACTAATCTCATGAACAGAGAGCAGGTACTTTTGCCATGAGACACTTCACAAACATGAGACAATTCAGTTACCATAAAAACCCACAGATAAGCCGCACCTTTTTTCCAAAAATTGTTGCTAGAAATTGGGGGTAAACTTATCTGCGGGAGCATTTGAAAAAGGTGTTGTGAATGTTTTCCATTTTCGCGTGCGATCTAATGCTTGGTTACTAAGCTTCGAATGTTCTGCTCGTGTTCCTGTTGTTATGCAAAAATCTATGAAAAACTGTGTTGAATGAAGAAATTCTTGTCAACAAATAACAGAAAAAGGTCAATCATATGGCAAAGTTGGTAGAAGTGATGTTCATTATGAGCAAGACTTTGAAGTATTTTCCATTGCAATGTTACATGTAATAGTGGGTTTATGTTCAATGGACAGTGGATTAAGAAGACTTCTCAAGACTCAACTTTGGATTTTTTTTTATTTCTTTCAAAAAACTTTTTTTTCCAAAATTTGAGCTGCTAAATTCAGGGTGCAGCTTATCTGTGGGTTTTTTATGGTATTCATGCACTATTAAAAACATTATATATCTTGGTTAGTATGTGCATTATGATTGGTCAATTTAGCATGCCATATTCCAGTGTATGGCCCACTGAATTCAAAAGTTTGTTTGAATTGAAATCTTCCCTCTCTATTTGAACCCAGAGATATGATAAAAATCTTACTAACCTTGTCTGTACTGTTAGTTACCTTGTTTTTTTTCCATTCAGATTTATGGCCTGGACTAGCTTTATGACTTTAAGTGTCCAAGTTGTTGACTATTGCTGCTATGTAGTAGCCAAAACTTTCTACTTGTCGTGGAATCAAAATGATATCATTTTGGGTCCCTTAGTAATGATGATAACACTCATAGAAACTTGATTTAGACTGAAAAGACTGATCATAGGGAAAACGCTGGTGTAAACTTGTGATCAGTATATATAAATGATAATGAGAGACTTGCTCCTCTTACCAGAATGATAATGATATCTTAGATTTTTGAAAGAGCCATGGTGACATGCTGTTACAATCTTTATTTATTTTGCAGAGAAACTATCAGTTTGACTTCTTACGGCCACAGCACAGTTTGTTCAACTATTTCACCAAGCTTGTGGAACAGTATACAAAGGTGAGATTTGCCTCAAGATGAATTTACTTGTTCAGGGCCTTGTAGAAAATGGCATCATTCCTTCTTCATTGTATTTTCATATGAACATGATCATTTACTGCAATAGGAGTGATAACTGTATTGAGTAAATCTTACATTTTGTCAGGTTTTGATTCCCCCAAGTGATATCAAAGAGAAGTTGCAAAAGGATGCTTATAAACCCAAAGAGGTATCAGAACTGTTTACTATGTTTTGACAAAGTTAAAATCATTTCTTAAACAATGACTCTCATACTTAAGCAAATCTTTATTAAGCAATAAACCATCTTTCTACTGGTTTACAAAATTACCAAAGCTATAGAAAGAGCAGAACCTTTTTTTCGAGGGTATATCATGATATGCACATGGAAACTGGAAAGGCAACCAATTTCCTCTGCATTGTATTGTAAAATAGTAAAAAAAAAGTTCCCCCTGGAAATTGTGAGACTTTTTTTCTCATGCACCATTAACATAGATCCACCAAGATATTCAAAATATTAGTAAACTATCTTGGTTTTAATTAAAGAAAACTTTTAGTACATGTATGTCTGGTGACAAGCTTCTGTGTATTCTAATTGTCAGTCAGAGAAGCTGAGATACTTTGCATCTTTTTAGATTCTGGATCGTGTCATGTACCGTGTTGAGTGGATTAAACAGCAAGAAAGAGAAAAAAAGAAATTAGAGGATGAAAAAGAAAAAGAAAGAGGTTGGTCTCTGTTTGATTAACAACAGCAGCACGCATTTACATCTCCATGTACTTAAGCATTGCTGTGAAACTTAGAATCAGAGAATCATTGTTGTTGAGCCTTTCTCGCAAATTTGGAAATGACAAGAATACAATCTTATTTATATGGCTTCTCTGAAGGGAAATATACATGTGCGTGTAACCTCAATAGCAAGAATGATTACAATTTTAATATTTCGTATTGAAAATTGCAAGTCAGTGCAGCTCATATGATGAGACATTCTGATATGTATATACACATAATGACGTTTTATGGGCAGATAGACAAAACGCTTTACTTTTCTTTTAGCAGTTTGTTTCCATTTCAGAGTTAACTCTGGTTTTAGAGTTCTTTTTGAAAATAATTTTACTTTCTTGTTGCATGTTTATGCCAAATAGTTTGTTCTGAGTATGGTAGCTATCAAGGTCTCTCCTGTTAGTGCAATCTTTTCTTACTCCTGGTGAGTTGCGGGAGTTTCATGTGTCTATTAAAATTTCTCCACTGGCTCAAAGTTGATTTGTAGTGATCAGTTGAATAGGAAACTATTATATTCTCACAATAATCCTTTCCCTTCTTGCAAAATATAGTTGCATTTGCATCAGTGGACTGGCATGACTTTGTTGTGGTGGAAACAGTGGAATTTAAAGACAACGAAACAGGTTGGTTTCTCACATTACATTTCTACAAGAGTAAAACCCTCTAACTATGATATCCCGACATTATCCAGCATTCAGGTTGTGAGGATATTTAAACTTATCAGATAGATTCTATTATCTTGATCTAGCAAAAATTATTGTAATTAATTTACAGGTGATGTGTATTGGCAAGAAGGGCGAATTAACAATCGGATCTCGGGAATTAAAGAGTTCATTGTGTGATGTGGAAAACACATGGAATGAGTGATCTGCTTGACAAAATGCTGTTTTTAGGTTGTCAGTAAGAGAGACAGCCACCATTATTGGTAGTCCTAGTTTCACAGCTGTCTAAGGGGAAAGCCGCTGAAAACCTGCGTGGAAAAGAACTATGAAACAAACAAAATTTTACACTTGCAGATAAAACTTACTCTTTTGAAGCATCTATTTTAATTTACTAAGATCCTTATATTGTGTTGTTTTAGCCAACTTGCCTCCACCAGTAAGCAGAGAACAGCTTGGAGCCAGGATATTAGCGCAGGAGCGATACGAACAAGTACAGGTGCGTACAGTACATGTAGCTTGTGATCAATTTAAACTTGATAGTGGCATGTAGATGCCTGTTCCATGGTCCTTTTTAAGACCAAAACTGAAATGTTCATGATTATTTTTTTGTAGGATGATGGTCCTACGTCAGATGATATGGAAGTCAACATGGATGTGGAGATGGAAGTTGACGAACCAGAGCCGCCATTGTTACAAGTTCCTCCACCTCCCCCTCCTATGAAGGATTCAACTGGGGTAAGACAAGCCTATTTTACTACATTCGTGTACCTATCGATCTACCCACATTGCACCTACACCTTCGTCGGCATCTTTTTAGGAGCATGTGTAAAGATTAAAATTTGAATGGGGATTTAAACAAGACTCTTAAAAGGAGAATGGGAGAAGAGCTCTACAATATGTGGTTGTCCGCGAACGCCTTATAAGTGTGCTTCTCTTTGTGTATGGATCTTTTGTAAAGACTGTGACGACCATGTTATTTTCATCTTTCAGAAAAACACAGACATGAATGAGGTGCCTCTTCCACCGATCCCCTCTGAACCTGGCCCCAAACCGCCCCTACCTCCCACAGCCCCAGGATCGAACATCCAAATCCGGAGAAATTATGATCCAAAGGCTCCTAAAGCGGCTGCACCCCTGGCTCAGACGGACAAGTTCCTGATCTCACCAATCACAGGCGAGCGGGTTCCTGCAGAGAACATGGCCGAGCACATGAAGATAAGTCTGTTGGATCCGCGCTGGAGGGAGCAGAGAGATAGAGTGATGCAGGAGAAGAAGGAGCAGGAACAAGTGTTTGCTGAAGGTAAAAGCAGTGCTACTGGTCACTTTATCTGCCGTGTAAACTCACTATAGGGTTAGAACAAGAAACGAAGGCACAGAGAAAGGGCTCCTGGTCACGGCCTTTGGACTGTGTCAATTTTACAAAAGCTATTTTTAGAAAGTAATTTAGTGTGAACAACTGAGTTGAAAACGTAAATTAGCCACTGTAAAGGGTAAAAAAGCTGATGTTTCGAGCGTTAGCCCTTCGTCAGAGCGATTTAGAAAGACTCTTGAGTGGATGCCTGTTTTCTGAGACGTCTACTTGAAGGAAAACTGAGGCTATCTTAGGTTAGTTTTTATGCTTAAAATCAATGCAGTGACGGAGCGGAACTTACGGAGCGGCATCCGCGAAAGTGGAATTCGGTGAAAGTCCAAAGCTCAAAACACCTTAGGTGGAATCGATATTCGTTTGGTTACCATCTTTGACGTCTGGAAGTGTATAAAGCTTGTTCCGTCCAGGTTGCCGGCTTAGTTGTTTTTCTGTCTCCTATTTCAACTTCTTCTTCTCCTTCTTTCTTTACTGACCGAGACGAAGCCTAGGCAAAAATTTATCCAATTTCCAACCGTCTTGAGCTTTCGCTGGGTCAGTAACACATTCATTCATTTTTCTGTCAGGTATGTCAATTGGAAGCAGTCTGAAGCAGCTGGCCGAGCGCCGTACAGATATCTTTGGAGCTGGTGACGAAGAGACTGTCATCGGTAAGAAGATCGGAGAAGAAGATATCCGAAAACCAGAGAAGGTCACGTGGGATGGTCACACTGCTTCCATGGCGGCCACTTCACGCTTGGCTCAACAAGGCGTGACAATTGAACAACAGATCGAGGCCATACACAAATCGAAGGGACTCACGTGAGTATTAACTTAAAACTGAGCTCCATTTTGTGCAAGATACTCATCAGCGGACATAAGTTGTTTCGAGCTTTGAAAAAAGACAGTATGAAAGTACCTTTAGATAGTATCAACGTACCTTTGAAAATGCATGTAGTAGAAGTTGAGCGCCAAGGCAAGGCGTAAATGTTTGTTGTTTAAATCCATCAAATATTTTTGCCTGCGCGCGATTGGTCTAAACGCTTCACGCGAACTAATATTCCCCCGCGAAAACTGGGGAATATCCGAGGATATACGCCAAGTGATATATTACCAATTTACAAACCTTACGTGTGCTGCTATCGCTCTCGGAAAACTGTTCTCATCTCGTAAATTATAATGTCCGCGGACAAATACCCAGGCACATTTTCGCGCCAAATGGAAGCTATTGTTTATTTGGCCGGTTAAGAGGACTGTTTGAAAAAAAACTGTAAGAAACATTTTCAAGTTTGGGTGACAGGTTTAACTGTACGGTCCGACCCCTAGCGAGGGCATTTGTGTTCAGCTATGGTCACATCAATCCTTCCGGATGTTGTGTTTTTCGAAGCGACTATGACATGCAAATACTTATTCTGTGACTATTCTGTTCTTATGTTGTTCTTCAGGCCCTCAGAAGAACGAGAAAGAATTGGACCCAAAGTTCCAGAGCAAGATAAACCTCCCGAGGCGCAGTTACCACCGACCACAACTATCCCGCCCCCTCCCTCCTTGAGTACCATGACCCCATCACGAGCGCCACCACCGCCCCCTATGTCCGCGATGATGAATCTGCCACCACCTCCCCCCATGCTCCCCCCTGGTGCACCTCCACAGTTCATGGGTAAGCATCATTGTTTACAGAAGTAAATGTCTTAAGAGCAAAGCATTTAAATAATACCAAGTGGTCTGTCCACGGGCGATTTTCCAGAAAAGCTATATTTAAGAATGACAATCTATGTTTTTCTGGTTTGTTGTTTATGACGTGTGAAAATGCGTTGTATCTACTACTCATATCTCTGTGCTTTTTCATTATTTCAGCCATTGAGCTTTCGTTGATCGTTTAGGTGACAGAAAGCCATTGTTCGATTTTATTGTGTATTTATGGAAAACACCAGTCAGAAATTTATGACTTTATCTGTGATACCTTGTGATAGTTTGGACCACCTACTATCGAGCAAGGCGAGTCAACATGACTCTTGATTTTACGGGATGCTTGTGCAAGAGCGCCAATGAAAGCCCGGTTGCTTTTCCTTTCCTTTCCTTTCCCATTCCTTTGTGAGACTGCTACTGATTTAAAGGGACCAACTCTAGGTTTCTGCCGTGAACGTTGTACATTTTTTTCCAGACTATATTTCCCTTGGATGCATACCGACCGTCTAAATATTTATTATTTTTATTTCTGTATCCGTAGGTATACCACCTCCGCCACCCCCGGGAGGTCTCCCGCGCATGCCGCCTCCACCGTTTGTTAACCCCAATCCTCCTGTTGCACCTCCCCTGCCAAGTAAGCGAGATATGGACGGAGATGACGCGGCTGGTAAGAAGTCCAGGACTGAGCCGGCTGAAGCAAATCTTGTTCCCGAGGATCAGTTCCTCTCCTCCAACCCTAACCCGGTCACCTTTGGTGTCCAAATCCCTAACATGCCAGACAAGTCCGAGTGGAAATTGGATGGCAGCACAGTTCGTCTTACTTTGCCGCTGACGGATCAGGTGAGTTAAGTATGGGTCTGGTACCGAGAGAATTGTATTTTCGCGCGAGAAAGCTCTTAGGGAAACCACAATAATGTTCCGATACCTGAGCGTTTATTGAAAGGATTGCTCTGGAAAGCAAATTCAATAAAATCATACAACGGCAGCCCTGCCGTCTTAGTACCGGCAACGGTGTTGTTGTTCTGGGCAATTTGCATGTCGTAAAACAAAAACTATGTTTATTATCACGGCCAGTTAGAACAAACAAAAATATCTCAGGGAGCCAGTGAGAATTCAAAATGAACACAAATGCTCTGGTTGTGTTTTTCTTCGTTCAGTGATTGGCTAGGAAAACTCGTGCCACTCTTCTCAACCAATCAGATGCACAAACTAGCCATGTCTCGGTGACGGGCAGTTTGCTTAAATTTACTGTGAGTTTCCATTGGCTCCTTATCACAGTGCTCCTTTTATTGTCTGAGGCTGTAATGATTACTTTGTTGCTGGGCTTACTACACTCAAGGGCCATGGCGAATTATAGCAAAATTAATCCAATCTCTTATCACTTTGTACACTCAATTTAAGGTTGCGAAAGCTTTCAAACGGTTATCTTTCATAGAACAGTTAGAGGCTTAGACATAAGTGGCTGAAGCTGTTGTGTTTTGAGGAAACCTTGTTTTCTGAATGCTTTAACTCTTACCCGTAATTATCACATTACTTTCTCTTGACGATTTCTTAATACTGTTCTGTTTGTGCTAATTTCTCGCTAGATTTCTGTCATCAAGGCTAAACTGCACGAGATAACTGGTATGCCAGCTGGAAAACAGAAACTACAGCTTGGGGTAAGAGTTATTTAATCTCTCTCTTTAGCTGGATAGGACAGTTGTTAGTTGAATGACCTGCCTTTACAGGAGTTTTCTTGACAGCGTAGATGGAAAAATATGTCAAGTTTCTATTAAGTAAGTTGCCACGTCTAATACCAGTGCTTTGACGAGGAGACCTTTCAAGAACAAAAAAATGGTAACAAGGAAATTTGCTAGAGTAGATGACTTCATGAGGAAGCTTACCAAGGACGTGGTGGAAGGTTTTAGAAAAATTCTGCTCTAGCTGGTTTTCCTTTAGTGTTTTTGAGTAGATTACCTCGCTGATTTGCGTGGTGCACCCGTCACAGTGTTTGAGTAGATTCAAGTCAGCGTAAAAGAAATTCCATCTCGTTTTTCGTCCAAACTTTTGGCCTCTAACAAAAATGTTAATGGATAAGTTATCTGACAGATGTAACTTGAAAGTCACGAACTCGTGTGCGACCTCCCAAATATTTTATGTTGGCGACAGATTAACCGGTTTATCTGCTATAATTTATCCGGTGATAAAGCTTATTAACTGCGTGGACAATCCGCTTACGACTAGATATGCACTAATTAGCGTGCGGACAAGTGCAAACATTGACTCAAGGCAAACGAGCAAATACGTACGTGACAGTTCACGACCGAGGCTGAAGGTAGTTGGTGTAAGATGGCGATTTCACTTCCCTTAAGTTATTTTTCTCGTTCAATTTCTTATGCAACTCCTTATTCTGAGATTCGTGTCAGAAACAAGTCGCCAAAGAGTTAAGTTGTTTATTTTGGCTCAGAATCCGGCCGGAAAGGTCCATTGTTTTCATTCGTTTTCTTTTCTTTCTTTTTTAGAGGTCAAGTGCTTATGGAGGCTTTATTTTTTTTTTTCTTTTTCTTTGTACATTCGTTTCTGTGAAGCACGAGGGAAATCTAAACACGATTTTTATACGTTGCATATTTCTGAGAGGTCATATCTGCTTTATAATTTAGCAGTTTTGTCGGGAAAAGTGTGGTAATTAATTAGTTTATCATTTAAGCGATTTTCCTAGTATTAAAATTTCCGCGTGAAATAGAAGAGCAAAAATTAAAGCTGATAAAATGGTTTAAGGGAGCGAGGTTTTGGCCAACCTTTTAATACTTTCCGTAGGTGCGAATTCATCTCATATTTTCTTTAAATCATTTCATCTGTCTTTTTGTCTCGTTCAGGGAATTTTCATCAAAGATTCCAACTCGTTGGCATATTACAATGTCACTCCAGCCAGTGTAGTGCAGCTACAACTCAAGGAACGTGGTGGACGAAAGAAATAAAAGACTTTGCAGTCCCAGAAGCCGAAAAGTTGCCAATTTCGTTCGGTTGTTTTTGTTTTACTGTAAATGCTTTCTCAAGACAAGTCTCCCCCCCCCCCCTTTCCGTATATCGACCCCTCTCATGAGCGCCCTATGTAGAACTACAATTATCTCATAAGCTTCCTTCTAATCTACTCTTCTCTGTATGAAACTACCCTCCCCTCTTTCTGTTCCCTAGAGAGAAACTCTTTGTAGTATAGTTATATTGTTTCTCATTTAGGTCAAGTAGCCTTTCAGTTAAAAAATATTCTGTTGTTTAAAAAGCCTGTATCAGTTTATGTAGGTTTTCGAAGAAAGAAATATGTTCCTTTTGGTAAATGAATAAAATTTCTCGGACTGTGACACGTGTTGAATTGTTTCAGCAGGGGCTTTGCATGACCTTTACGGCAAGCCACAACAGTTTAACTTGTCACCTTCTCTTTCCTGTCGTTTTGAGCTCATTCTTCTTTACCCATTATCTGGCGTCAAAACTTAAATCTTGCCACTTTCAGCTTCAATTCGTCCCTTGTTAGAAGCGACTCCCACGTTATACACTTAAGAGAGAGGGCAGAATCACTAAGCGCTGATTGGCTGAGACAGAGGGCATTTCTCATTAATTTTCACGGTGAGCGACTCGAGCAAGTTCAACACATTCCGAAACACAAGTGAATGTAATTTTACGCAGCTGTAGGTGATCACCTATGCTTTTTTAAATCACAAAAGTTTACTTTAATAGCAAAACGCACACTTATGCGTAATTTTCTTTATCCGAGAGAGCCAAATTGCACTCTTTGGCCGGCTAAGATATTTTCCTTACTGGCCAAATTACTTCGTGAGGCCCAAAGTTGGGGACAAATTTGTGGATAGGTAGTGTAGTAAAGTCGTCCAACTCTTTGAAGTCTAATTGCATCACAGGGTCGTAGTTGATGTACCTGTAGACGCAAACTGTTTTCAAAAGCCATGCAATCCTTTGAAAAATTGTTTATTATTGCAAAACTGTGAAATTGTCAAATGACTGAAAGATTTAAATTTCTTATAAAACTATGATGCTGCTTCGGTGGGTGGTATCGCAATGTAATTTGAGTTGATAAAAGCAAAATATCATGGAATCGTCAAGGTGGGTGTTCGTTGGGATGAGTACTTGAAATGATAGCATCCTACCAAAGACGCCCTCTCCAAATGAACGGAAACCTCAGTTGAATACGCAATGTGCACCCATTTGTAAGTGCATATAGACTTTGTAATCATTTTGAACCGCCCGCGTGCGAACGTAATCGGGCGTAATCAATTAATTTGGGTTCATTGTTGTTTTCAATAGCGGTCATATTTAGTAGTTTCACTCTAGAAGGAATTATTCATTGCTCAGTTTATTTCAGATGTAACTTGATCGGAGCCTTTGTTTGTCGACGAAGGTTGTTACAAAACGTTGAGTCTATTGATCACTGATTTTAGATTGATGGTTGAGCACTTGAAGAGACTAGTGCACGCTCCCAAGTCTATCAAAAGAAGATATTCCCGTAGGCAATAGTTTCCTCACTTCCGTTAGCGTAAATCGAAAGAGAGACACTTTAATTTTGAAGAATCCTCCCGCGTTTCTTCTCTATTTTTGTAGATATTTCGTTAGTGACGTTGATGTAATGTTGAAATCAGAGCTTAAGTCTTCCTGCCTTCATTTACACAACATGGTCCTCAAACAAAGCGTTACGAATAGTAAACAAGCGCAGCGTGCGTGACATCACGATATGTCTATTTGCACCCCATTGTTGTGAATCTCCACGAGGGAGGAGGGGATGGTAATCATAAATTTTTTTTCTTTCCCTTTAAATTTATTTAGGACAAGTCGAGCTCTTTCGACCGTTCTGGGATTTATTGGCACTAACATGTATCGTTTGCTATAGGTATTTCCCTTTCGTGTTCCGCTGAGGTACTTTTTGTTTCGAAAATTTGTTGTTGCAAGTTGGGAGCCCCTCCCGTCCCCAGTCATGTTCAACTTTTCACACGTCTTCTAGAACTTGATTGACGATTCTTTGTTCTCGCGCGCCAGAATTGCTCACGCATTGTCACTTTCAATATATCTTTGATTGATTTCGTTGTCGTTAAAGGATTTGCGATGTGGGTCGTTAGAGTTCTAAACACGGGTAAGCCTTCGACAATGTTGAAATATTATGTTTTTTCTCCATCGAAGAGCACATTCAGTGACACTGTTTCACCACCTGCTAGCGAAACTTTCGGGGTCCTTTCACCGATTCTGCGGGGACTTCGCAAACGCCGCTACACGTGGGGATCGATCGTTCAGTCGACTGAAATGCCATTTTCTTTGTTGTTTTTCTCACAGATGTGCACTGTTTGCTGGTATTAGTAGCGGTAGTGGTGTGCGTTTTCGCTCTTCTCCTCATGGTCCGAGGTAAACCTCGAAGAGGAAAAGTAAGTCATAGGCCATTTATCAAAACCAGAGGTCGTCGTCCTTCGCCAAGGATAACTCTCCTTTTCGGCAACAGGGTTAGTTCGAATATTTTTATTTTGAAAATTGTTGGTTTCCCTGACGCATTTTCTCTTTCATCGAATTAATGAACCGTTGAAAGCACTGAACGCATTTTGATTTCAAGTAGTATTGTTTAATTCATACGGCGAAATTTACAACTGTCGAAAAATTTAGAAAATTCTCAATGAAATGTGGTGTTCACTAATTTGTTTGATAGATTGATCTTACGGAAGACAGGAGTTGCTCGAAAACTTTACAAAACCTTATTGTTTATGAAATGTGTAAGCAAACAATCCCTGTTCCCTTAAGTTTATTTGTTTTCAAATCTAATATTCATGATATATTAGCTTGCTTTTTCTGTATATGCGAATATGGTCATCAAGATCCTATCTCCTTCCAAGAAAATAGACGGCTTGATCGCCGTCAAATAATTACGTATGTTTTTATTTGTGATTAGTTAGTAAAGGCAGTCAAAGAAAGTTCGAATTTCCGTTTTGCGGTTTTAAAATTTGCATCTCTTGTCGACTCGTAAATACTGTGGAAGACATGTCGACGCGATCAGGCGATTTCACTAAGTCACCACATGATTCGGTTTTACTTTGAAATTACGTAAAAAAAATCGAAACGTCACTTTGAATTTTCTCGAAAAGATCTCTTCAATTTAAAGCTAAACAATGAAACTTTTTATTGTTTCTCATTTTTGGCACCAACAATAAATTCGCCTTCCACCTGCTGATATTATTCTAAACATCACGCAGGAAAAGAAAATTATCAATAAAAATTTAGTGAAGTGTATGTTCTCGCCGCTTTCATTGTCATACAATCTCTACAGGCCGCACAGAAATCTTTTTGAGGCGATCTTTGACTTTCTCACAATGTGCCTTACAATAATTTGTGAACTCTGTTGATAGGTGCAAATGTGTTTATATTTTTAAAAAGATAATCGAATTCAGACAATATTGTAATTGGACTTTTTGTGGGAGTTCCAATTGTGGGAAATAATTACCTGTTTACACAGTGAAGTCAAATTGTATCTACGAAAAAATTATAACAAGAATTTTTCAGTCAGGGTTGATTTTATATGATGTCAAGCAGCCATCTTATGTTTGCCTTGCCAATCGATATCCAAATTTTGCTCAAAGTTTATATTTCACTCAGTCTGCATTAATTCTCAAGAGATTGTCCTATATTTTAAGTCCAGTTAAGATTACACTCACTAAATGTGATAATAAATATTCTTTTACCATGTTTTGACCCAAAGCACCAAAAATTATAACCCAGAAGATAAATAGACAATGCCATAAGGTATGATAAAATATGCAATCAATATCATCAGTGTAAATGCATGGGTGGACTTACAAGCTGAATTATGCATAAAATGTGCACAAAATTGGATAACATTTACTGGAAAACACAGTACATGCTACTTAAGGTTGTGGTCTGTTCTTAGTTATAACCTTTACTGATGAACATCTCATAAACTGATCCTGAAATAATAAAAGCCAACATGAAGCTTGAAATTTATTCTCTAAGGAATGAATTAATCAGCTGTAATTTGAATTTTTGTGATACGAATTGATGTGTTTAGAACTTTCAAGAATTATCATGTTATTGTGTTAAGGGCATCTTTAAAATTTGAACTCATAAAATGGGCTAAATGGTTGAAAAATGAAAAATTCTGATTTCAAGAGTTTTCTGCCTTTGTTAAACCCAACTTTATAAGCTTTCTAGTGGTTGCTTTTGCATCCCATAAAGGGAAATTAATTTGGCACAAATAGGTACATGTAATGTCAGTTGATGCTAATCTTTCCAAATCTCATCAAAGCTTAATCAAGTTTTGGGGACATACATTACCCTTCCTCTTGTCCCAACTTCTGCCCTCAGCAGTTAGCAAAAGTCCATCAAAATGCAAGCTCTCTTTCGACCCTCTTTATTTTGAACTTTAATTTAGTACAGGTAGCTGTCAAATGTATTAATTTAATCACTTGAAAATATTAGCTGAGCTGATTACCTCAGTCTGTAGCCTTTTTATTTTTAATTCTCTACAGTCAATTCCCACTATGTGGTCACTGCTTCCTGTGGGGCAGAAATTGTGGTTTGTTATTTTTCATTTTGAGAGCCATGCCATGGTCTTAACAAGAATAACAGAAACAATGCCTTTGTTGTTACTCATTGTTTTTCATTTTTATCTTGAGCTTAAGAAAATAAGTAATTATGTAAACCTACTCAGAGCTTTATTAAGTACTTATCATGTCACGAAACAGCTGAACAAAAGCTAAGATGCTAATGCTTGTTCATCTTAGAATAATCAGAGGCAATTTCCAGCTGTTTTATATAGTCAATAGGATGAAATGTAAACAATACAAATTTTAATGACTCAGAGTCAATGTTAAGTTAAAAAATTTCTTAAAAATTAACAATAACTAAATTCTATTTGGCGACGAAGCTTAAGAAAAGAAACAGTTCTTGATTTTGCATCTGATACTTGAAAAAAAACAAGAAAGAATTTCAGCCCTAAGATAGCTTGTGTTCAGACTTAGATATTTATAATAAAACTAGTGATGACTTAAAAGTACAATTTAAGTTTGAATTGCTCTTGCATGGACAATAGTACAATTTTGAATTGAGTATCAAGAGTAATACAGGATCATGTTGCTTTTGTTTTATTTCACCATGTGATTATTGCTTTTGTTTAACTCTTTGATTCCCAAGATCTGTTTGTTAGCTCTCCCCTCTAGCTGTTACAAATTTCCTTGTGAACATGTTACAAGAATTTGGTGTTAGATCAAGAAAACAATCTCTACCTGAAAAGTTTGAGTATTCCCATTACCTGTTTGCTGGATAACAGATGCATATCATTGGGAGAAGTTACCTTTTAATCACTTCTGGGAGTTAATAGGCTAAGAAAACTGGTGCCACACTCTCAACCAATCAGATGGAAAACATAAAATATCTTTATCTTGGCCACTTGCCTCTTCACACCCTCTTGGCAGTTTGCTTTTAAGTTACTTTGGGTTCTCACATGTTCCTTGTAATATTTCCCTTTGTTAAATTGACTCAGGCTGATATGATCTTGGTTTTGCAACGCTCAATTTAGAAGCCCTTTTGCAGTCCTCTGCAGAAGTACTGCAAATTACAAATACATGGATGTGATACAGTTGAAGTTGACTGAGTTTGTAGCATTGCCAATGACTTGTTTTTCCAGTTTTGTCTGGATTTAACCTTTCCAAAAATTGAATAAGAAAGAATGACGTTGTGCTTTTTGAGTTTTCTGTATACCCCTCCCTTCCAGTATTGCCATTAAGGAATTTCTCACAACAATATTGATCTATTGCCAAGTAGAAAGGTGATGAGGAGATTAATTAGTATATATTACTTTATTTAACCCTTTCACTCCCAAGATCTAAGTGTCAATTTCTTTGCAGTGTTCTAGTTCTGAAAATTTGATGTTAATTCAAGCAATATGTTCAGTTGTTACTTAACTTTCTTCTCATCACGTTCATGCTTTTGAATGTACTAGTAATTTGTAAGAAACAGTTCCTCTCTAATTACCCCTGGGAGTGTTAACTCAGAGTGTTAACTCAAAATCCCCCTAACAGCAATTTTGGGAGTGGGATGATTTAGTTAAAAAAAAATAATTTGGCTTAAAGTAGATTGTGTTTAGTGTTAATTCTCTGCCTCATAACCAGTAGATGAGTGAAGATTTGCTGACTGTTCAAACCTTGCTAAGTAAGCTAACAATGTTTGGTGCCTGCCCGCTCTGAAAAAAGAACCCTGCACTAACATTAAGACAAAAAATCAACACACCTCCAAGAACTTGCTCTTGCAGTTGCAAATTAGTTCATTAGAACATTAGAATTTGGTACAAAATTCCATGCATGGCAAAATGAAGAAAAAAATTTTTTACAGAAGATAGAATTTGATTCTTCGTATGTTATCAATTATGCCTCATATTTGATTGTTTTTGTGACCAGGAATTTCCAAATGGCCTGACATTCACTCCCAAAAATTCTTCAAGTCAACCACCGCTGTCAATTAGATCTTCTCCTTTCAAAACAAGACATGTTAGTAATATCCCAGAAAAGTGTTGTGGAAACCGCACATGGCCAGATGTCTTGACCTCTGCCAATCACAGCCTGAAGCAAAAAGTTCCTCAGCCGAAAAAGAAAAAATCCATGAAGGAGAAAAATATGAAACCAAGAGTGTTGTTTGCATCTCAATCTGTCCATGAAAAGCAGGTTGGTTCTGAGGAAGATAAAGCTGAACTCATTCTACAGGACAGGCTGAAACGCAGGGATAATGGACATATTGAACAAGCTAAGACTAGCGGTTTGTGTGAACCAGACCCATCTTTGTCTTCAAATGTCAAGGAAAGTTGTGGGCATGCAGACAGTCTGGGTAAATCAATTTCTCCATTGAATACTAAAATCCCATCAGATGATGGACAAGTTTCTCACAACAGCTCATCAAGCACAGTAAATAATGAACATTTGCCTAAGGTTGAGGCAAAAATTGATACAACTAGGCTGTCTGCAGATGTACCTAAAACAGGAAAGCCCTATGAAGTTAAATGGGATGAACAAATTAAACAAGCTAAGACTGGTGTTTTGTGTGAGCCAGACCCATCTTTATCATTAAATGGCAAGGAAAGGTGCAGGCATGTACATAGTCAGGGTAAATCAATTTCTCCATCAAATACAAAGGTTTTACTGGGAGATGGACAAGTTGCTCAAAACAGATCAACAAGCACAAGAAATAGTGAACTTTCACTTAAGGTTGAGGCAAAAATTGATACAACTATGCTGTCTGCAGATGTAACTAAAACAGGAAAGCCCTATGAAGTTAAATGGGATGAACAAATCAAACAAGCTAAGACTGGTGTTTTGTGTGAGCCACACCCATCTTTATCATTAAATAGCAAGGAAAGGTGCAGGCATGTACATAGTCAGGGTAAATCAATTTCTCCATCAAATACAAAGGTTTTACTGGGAGATGGACAAGTTTTTCAAAACAGATCAGCAAGCAAAAGAAATAGTGAACTTTCACCTGAGCTTAATTCAAAAGTTGGTACAATTTGCTTGCCTGTAGATGTAACTAAAAGAGAAAAGCCCTATCAAGTTAAATGGGATGCAAAAATTTCCAGAACCCCTTGTGAACGATTTTCATATTTTTTAACTCTGAGAGATGTAGAGACTAATTCACATGTATCTTCAGAACATGGCTCATCATTTGTAACTTTTCTGCCCATTGGAGGTCACACCTGCAGGCAAGGTCAAAGTCAGGAAAATTTGTCATCAACAACAACAACAACAAATACAAGTTTATGCCAAACTCTGCAGACTAATGATTGTCATACAGATAAGGTAGAGCACAAAGTTCCTGAATCTTCCCAAAACACTTCTGCACCTGATAACCGGGAAGTTGATGAAATTGAATTGATGGATCTGTCTTGGGACAATTCTGATTGTTTTAGTGGAAACAGTGCAGGGTCCAGAGAATCTAGCCCACTGGAACTTATTAAGGAAGTGAGTTGTTCATCTGACAACAGCATTGGTAAGAGTGAACGTAAAATGCGATCATCCAGGAAAAAGGCTGTAAAATCTCACAAGAGAGAGGTGGTTAACTTTCACTGTAACAATTGTGATGTCAGTAACGATGCTGCACATTTGTCCAAGACACAATCATCCACAGAGAAGAATGGAAAATTTCTCATCCAGAAGCCATTGACCTGTAACCATAAGAACTCTGATGCCAATGATGTTGTTGCTCAGGCATCAAAGTCTGAAGTGCATTGTATACTGTGTGGTATCAGATTGTCTAAACCACAATGTTTTTATAGTTTGGGTTCCCTGTGCACTGATGATGACATTTGTGAAACTACCTCAGATGATATTAATCGACATCTTGTAAGTGATGTTGACACAAACCCTCCAGCAGGGGAAGGTAAAGGTCACCCTGACACAGGATACACCAGCAGCGAAGAACTTGAAAATGAAAGTGTCTTGCCAAAAGAGGTGGAGGCAATTCTTACTCACAAAAGACGTAGGACAGATGGTTATGATGGTGATCATGAGAGTGACAGCAGTTTTGAATCTTTTGTCTTTACATTGTCTTCAAGTGAAGATGAGCGAGAAGCAGTTTCAGTCAAGGAATGTGAAACAGGAAACAAATAAGAGACAGGAGATGGCAATATCACAGACTATAGAAAAGGTATGCATGCTATGTTTAAAGTTTTGAGTACACCTGTAACTGCACATCTTGTGGCCACAAGAATTTTTCCATTCAGACAAGGTTTTTTATATTTTTGTCCAAACTTGAACCTTTTACACCCTAAAATCAGTATGCATATTATCCACACTGTTCTTTATGTCATTTCCTAATGTGCTGACAAGGAGAATTTGTTTTGTAATCCAAAGGTTCCTTCCCTGATGATCATTTCTGTTATTGTCATAACCTTAATGTGTGATTCAGGAGTGATATCACAGGGAGAAATTAGATGCTGGTCACTCTAAGGGTTTAAAGGGTTAATGGAGGAGGAGGTTCAAAGGAAGTGTTGGAAATGAAAATATTATCGAGTACAGTAATTGTACAGCACAACTGCTTTTGAATCTACTCTCTTGTCTGTACAGATGGACTCAAAGTGAAACTATGATAAACTGTCTATAACCCACTTGTAGCTTTTTGTCATAAAATTAAAAAACATTCCTTAAACATCCATGCAGTTATCCTGGTTTGAACCAAGCAGCCAGTCTAAGTATGAAGGTCAATGACTCCTTTGATTATTCTGTTCAAAAGGTTTTGACATGTGCAAAAGTCATTTCCTTCTGCGCAAGGTATTCAATTATTTTTACTTTCTAGCACATGACTTCAAAGTTTGTGAACCAAATCTTCCATTTTACTGGAAATTTTTCCAAAGACTAATAATAAACTGTTTTATTGCATGGAAAGTTCCCTATGATTATAGTTAGGTTGGAATTAGGCTAATATTATAAGACATTTTTGTATTCTATGCAACATTCGTAGAAAAGCTTCTTCCCACTATGACTATTTTTCAATTTTGGTGTTATCAATAAGATTATGATGCTAGCTGACTCTTCATCATTCTGGTCAATCATGAGCTGAAGACTTCCTCCTGGCAACTGAATGAACATTCATATGAAGTATACTGTGAAATACATGAAAAGAATCCCTCTTTTTGCTCTAAATTTTAAAACACACGAAACTTATAAAGAACTCCTGTTATCTCTAAAAATTTTACTTAATCTAACCTTGTCTCTGTCAGTATAAGAGAAGGTCAGTTGAGAGAATTTGAAGTTAATATCCAAATGAAACTTTTTTTGCTAATAAGTTTATCAATTCTCATCACCTGTTGAAATTGTAAAGAGAAACTACCTGTTAATCAGTGGTGCCTACATAATTTTAACTGTGCTGATGAGGAAGGAATGTTCTTACATTATGGTTTTTAATTCTTGTTTTTTTCCTTTTTTTTCCCTTGAGGTCCAGAAATTAATTGCAAAAGCTCCAGCTGAAAAAGAGTGAATTAATCACTAAGACAACAGGGTGAACTGGAGCAGGTAAACAATATCTCCCCTCTTTGTCTGGTATCTGGTGGCAGTTTAAGTAGCAAGGGTGGCCTTCAGATGACATGTGACATGGTTACTCTTGGATTACACATGTACATTTATGGTTGCAAAAGAGCTACAGCTGTTTTAAGCTACTCTGTTATGGTATAACTTTGAGAATTGTAAATCAATACAAAATTCTTAAATAAGTCCTTACTTTTCAAAAAATTTAGGGGATTGAATTATGGAGTTTACAATGGTGGCAGAAAGTGAGACTAACTCTATTGCTTTCTATACCCATTGTTCTATCTCCTACTGAGAGAAAAAGCAAATATTTCTAAGAGATGTAGCTTGGGAGCTGATAAATATTTTGGTGTTTGCTATGAATGACACAATTCATTTCTTAATTAGCAATTGATTTGGAATAAAATACTGTAGATTGGTGTCACACCCAAAGGTTGAGATTCTGGTTTCAGCTCTTACATTGTGTCATTGTTTTAATAATTCTTGATTATTAGTGTAATTATTTCTTTTATATATTAATTTTTTTATACTTGGTAATCAATCTCTGTCAGTCATTCTTGGTTGGCTTTTCTCTATAGCATTTGACTTCTTGGATGGTTAACTTACTATCATTTTTTATTCAAAGTAAGTCAATTTTTGTGTAACTTACATGAGAATTGTAAAAGAGAATTTGTCAGGTCTCAAGTTTTCCTTTTCATAAGGCAAAGGTTTTATGCTTCTCGGAAAATTACTCATGAAGAACTTTCTAATGGCATTTATGTGTTTAGGCATTATAAATGGATATCCTGATCAACCAAATCCCTCTCTTTCTTTTGTTAGGTGAAATGTGCCTGCATTGATATACCACTATTCAAGTTGTCCACCTTTCTCATTTGTGAAAAGAAGGCTGTGGCATGAGTTACCTTTCAATAGTTGGGGTACCTAAGGACATTCCTGATGTTAAATTAGCTGCTAAAGGTCACAGACACCATAATATTGTAATGTGGGAGAAACAAATGTCAACTACCATGTCTCTTGATTTGTCATGAATTGGATCTTTCATTCAAGGGACATCTGCAGAACTACAAATTGCCATGCTGGTTGTCTTCATTGCCTTCCTCACTTCTTACGCTCTTCACTTCTGTCCACTGTGGTGTCAATCTGCGGTGAGGGTGACTGTCTGTTTTATAGGTAAAGAAGACTAGCTGATTCATGATTTCACTGAAATGTTCATCCAATGTTCTGTTTTTCAGGATCAATGTCAGTATCTGAGCCACTTCACTGATAACAAGTTAGGGTTAATGTTGGGGAAAGGGAAGGGTAGGTGCACAGTTGCTCAGTTACTCACATTGAGGTGAATATTGATCCGTTTTTTGCATATGCAGGTAGAAATTGTTTAGTTTTGTCTTTAACTGAGATTGAAAAATTCCATGATGACCTCGCAAGCTCTCTGACTTCTTGTATTTATTGGTGTCATTCATGCTGGTATGAGTCTAAGCTTTTTCCATATTGTGTTTTTATCCATCTTCTCTTATCCTCTCTGCACCCTTAAATGAAGGCCATGTCTTTTCCATCGAGTAGATGTGTCAACTGAATACTTGCCTCCTGATATATTTTTATTTTCTATCTCTTTTTAGCAATAAATCTCCTGGTGTCATCTGATATCTAATGTTCTCTGCGTGTACCTCTTCTACGACCTATCACTGTTTCAGTGCAATCCCTGACTGTCGTTTTAATGTTGCTTTCACACTTTTACACCCACATTATTCTGTGAAGCTTCAAAGCTCTTGGAACGCTCTACTCAGAATTTTCGGATCAATATCAGTATCTGGGCAACGGCCCACATACCCCTCGGTTAGGGAAGGGTTAGGTGGGCAGTTGCCCAGATACTGATATTGATCCGAATTTTCCTGGTTGGTCTGTGTCCGTCTGTAACATTCCACGTATTCTTGTGAATGCCCATGTCTTCAAAGAATGTATTGCCAGCAATAAGTTGTGTGGTGCCTCCAGCACCATGAGGACCGATTCTGCTATTTGAACCTTGCTGATTTTCATCAACTTGTGCTTTGAAATCAACCGTAATCACTTTCACATCATGAGTAGGGGTTTCCATTCAATATTACCTATAGCTGAAGTAGAATTTATCTTTCTCCTCTGTGTCGGTTACCTCAGTTGATGCGTAAGCTTGAACTACACTTACTTTGGCAAGTGATTACCAGAATCTTGCAGTTGCGAAGCGATTGTTGGTTGATTTTCAGTCCATCGGCTCTTGTGTAGCGACTTTAATGAAGAACAGGCCTCCCACCCTTCACATGATATTTGCTGTCTTCGAAGCTAAGTGCTGTAAGGTTGACCTGGTCCCTCCATATTATTTCCCCAATGCCTAGCACATTCAGATCACATGTCTTCATCTCTTTTATGCCTTGAGCTGACTTTCCGCATTGGTAGAACTCCTCAAATTCGTGGCTACTTTTGTCACACTTTTAGTACTAAAGATTGAGTGTGTCCGGTATCTGAGTTCATATTGGAACTCATCTGCCACGATCATAGATGCAACTTACTGAACCCCGTCACTTCACCGCTGGTTCCATAGTCGCTGGGTGCCACGCTTTTTCTTCTCGCTATTTCCCTAACGATGTTGTTTTACATGGTGAGGTCGCTACCCTTACGTCCGATCCTCTTCTTTTCTCAGTTGGGCTTAAGATCAGAAATGGCATTGTGACTTTAGTGATGGCTTCAGGTGTATAAATGTAGAAAACCTTCGCTAATTAATTCAATATATTTTTTTTAGTAATGAGATCTTTTTGTTTTCTGAGACGCTGTGTTTTCTATATTTGATTCAAAACACAAAGGTTATTTAAAGGGGAAGTTTAACATAGCTGTGTTGATGTTTGGCTAGCTTTTTAATTACTCGTCACCAAAGTTGTCCCGCTTACTAGTAGGAGGTAATAAAAATATTTATCATAACTATTATTTTAGCTTAATTATTTAAATTGTGGTCGTAAAAGTGGTCCATCCTTAAAAGGGGACCACATTGTTTAGAGAATTCTGAATTGAGATATCACCTATTAAACTTACCAAATTTTTTTATGTAAATTTTCATATACTATTGTGACTTATTTTGTTAAACAAATAATTGCCTGTTTAAGATGCTTTTAGAATGTTCCGTAAGAGTTTGTGGACAAAAGACAACGTAAATTAACCATACATGAATTATTGTAAGCCTAGGAACTGCATAGGTGAATTGTAAAGAAATAACTTATAGAAAAGTATATTTAAGATTAAAAGTAAGATTATTAACGTTAAATTTAAAGCTACAGATTCAAAGCTAAGTCCTTTGAAGAAAAACAACAAATATATCTACATATATATATATTGAGAATTCGCTACGCTGAAGCCTCACCCTCAAGGAGAGTGAGAAGTAAAAGGTTTTATAGAACTATTTTAAGGTCTTAGATATTTCATAAGCAGTAAGGTCTGTCCTAAGGCGTGCACGAGGTTTCATTTAACTTTCACACATTTAGTAACTTGATCTACTGTTAAACAGGAATGGTTTTTTATTTAATGCGTTTATTTATGTTGAGCGTAGCTTTTTAGGCTTATTTAAGATTTCACACACGTTCATATTTGGTATTCAAATTTTTAGGGGTTTTCTACTGTGAGTTGCGGGGTTTTGGAGTATTTTTTATGAAATAGATCCTCAGAAACGTAACGAGTTACCCTTTTTTTCTAAATTTCGAGGGCTTCTTACATCTTGCGTGACCTTATACTATTTATAAGAACGTAACGAGTTACCTTTTTTTCCTAAATTTCGAGGGTTTCTTACATCTTGCGCGACCTTATACTATTTATAAGAATATTAAGAAATGACGCCAAAATAAAGGATGAATATTTATTAATGTGTGCACATATACTTTGAACTGTATTTGTAGTGGCGCGCGCAGCGTATGACCATTTGTAAAAAAATTGGTAGAAACCTATCAAGTCGAGGAAATTTGGTCCGGTATGACAGTCCGTCCACGCAAGGCGTTACTGTCCGCATGCGCAGCCAACGGCATTACTCTTGTTTAGCGGACGTTTCAGTACGACGCAGTACACTATTTAAAGTATTCTCCCTTGTAGCCTCGTGTCCGAGAGTGCTCAAGGAGAGCGCATTCTTGGAGCATTGATCATCATACCAGCCTCTGCGAGGGAAGTTTCCTAAATGAACAGAAATCTCAATTGGATATGCACCGTGTGCCTGCTTTTAATTGTGTGTGATCTTACACATGATAAAGTATCCGCAATCCTTATTTCCTAAGGACAAGGGACTGGTCTTTATTTATCGCCTGGGAGGGGAGGTGGGATGATTGGAGGATTTTACCCGACCCCCCCCCCCAGGCTCTGTATTATTGTAATGATCCCTCCCTCACTGGCAGTCAATTTTCAATAGTTTCCCCCTCTATATTCTGTCGGCGACGACTAAGCTTGTAAAATGCTGAAATGTTGCTAACTGGAATGCCAAAGAGTTGCTAAAGAATTGCCAAAAATCCAAAGTCTCCAACTGAATTTCAGAGGCCTTTTATGGCCTTAGACGGTTGGCATTTAAATTTCAGGGACTATTGACGATTGGCGTTTTTACGAAGATATATTCACGACTTAAAATCGATGTTTTTCTGTTTTTAAAATAAATAACGAATGATTTTCAGATCTATTTAGTCTTTCTCTGATGAAATGAAATAAAGCGCAAGATGCCAGAAATCTGATCCTCGTGTTTTTGTGCAAGGTGTCCGGAATCTTGGATTTAGAATTCTCTTTCGTTCGACTGTTACGTTTGCATCTCGCGTGCTTTTATAATCCTCTTTCGTTGGATCATCGCGTTAGTAACCCGCACACGTTTAGGTCTGATTATTTAAACAAAGTAAGCCGTTGTTTAACAAAACCGCATCCTAAACAATTCCTAATATAGTTCTCAGAACACTTAATTCTGTGAACTGCGTCAAGAGGGCCGAAAGTTAACAGGGGAAGGACATTTATTCGATTAAATCAACACTCTTATAAGGTCTACTGATTGCGTAACATCGTGTTTTGGGTTAGACCTCGCATAAATAACTGGTCCATCGAATTCTCTTCCATTTGATTGTTAAGCTATTTCATCGTATAAACTAAGGTGTTATACAAGGATTTCCAGCCCCGAGAAAAGCTATAACAACACACGTGAAAAAATGACATTTTTTCTCATGTTTGATACCATCAATGAGCTGCTGACACGTCACTCGCCTTCCGCGCTACTTAGTCAGGTCGACGAATGAACCATTCTCAATCTATGGTTGTTTGTTGGAATTTTCTCGGATTCCGGCTGCTAAAACACTGAAAAATCTGTATCGCTTACAGACAGGGGAAGAAAACCAAAATACGAAAAAAAAAACCGAAAGTTACGTAATTGGTGGCTGAGAACGAAATTGACAACTGGAAGATTTGCCACTGGCCGATTTTCGCCTGTACCTTTCGTGTACCTGAAAGATTTCTCCTGTCGGTAAGGACATAGTTGTTTTTGTAATGATTGAACGCATTTTTACTTCGAGTCTTAGTACCAACGCACTTTACGATTTTTATTCGGGGTTGTCGACTTTTCTTGCCACCAAAGGGCTAGTGTACATAATAAACAAAAGAACACATGGTTGCTTGTAGATATGGAATTTCTCTTTCTTTTTTTTTTCGTTTCGCGAATGAATTGCGACTCTTTTACGGGTATCAAATGGTCCTTTATAGCGGCTAGATTAAAGAATATTCATTGACTAAATTTGCATTGCAGTCGTGTTTCTTCTTCTTTAAAGTCCTGTCGCGCTTACCTTCGTAAGCGGCGCGACAAATTCAGTCAACCTTGAAAAGTGGCGGGGTATGCAATAGCTTTTCCGGATATTCTGTTTGCAACAAATTTTTCTCGGTAGTGTGAGAACGATATGACAAGTCTTGGGAACAGAATTAATTGTAATTGGTTGGTTCAGGGTTAGATGTCCATCTGGTTGGTTCCGAATCGCACCCAATTCGCGCTTTTAAGCATCCGAGAAAGATCTAAGAAATTTATTACAGCCTAATTTGAATTTCTTGTCTTTCTTTTTTTCCTTCTCGTGGATTTGTGTTAGTATATGTTATCACTTTGGGTTACAATTCCAAGATCACTCATTCTCTACATATTTCCCATGTTAGATGAATTTCGACATATGGTACCATCAGACACTTAATTTAAACTCAGTTTATTCTTTGTTAGTGTTTAGTGAAAGTGATGGTGCACTTCTATGTCTCCTACTGCGCTGTCTCCTCTGTTTGATCTGGGTTTACGAAGACGACGTCCTCCTTGGCGGCACTGTGATCTGATGTGCCTAACGATGCCACAGTTATGATATCTCCCTGCAAGGAAATAAGGACTCTTATTATATAAACAGTCGTGAAATCCCGCAAAAACAGGATATTTTCACATATGAAAATAACACTGTCCCTACTCTTGAAAAATAGATGCGCCTTTCGCAGCGAAAGAAGAATGGATTGCCCTTTCCTTTGCGCTTATAGACGAGTCATTAGAATCTCCGCGCAGCCAAGTAATATCCTCTATTCATTACAGGAATAGCAGTAAAATCTTAGACGAGCTCGGGCACGAAAATGCGACATGTTTACAAGTGAATACGACACAGATCCTATTGTTACCCTATGAGTAGCGCGCGAATGAAATGGTTCGGCGAGTCCTTTATGTTTATATGATAAAATAATATTAGATAGTCATTTGGAGATACGAAATTAAGGGAAAAATATTTCTCTTTCGCTGCGCGCACTCCTGAGACATTTTTAACCCTAGAAGGGATATTTCGTTTCCCAGCACGCCATTTTATATGGTGTATCTAGCTATCTTAAAACATGAATTGCGAATTGAATAACTTGGCGAATGAGACTAAAGAGACGATCTATTTCAGTTACTTGGATGAAAAAACGCTTGGTAGCAATTTCAGAACATCTCCATCCCCCTCAAATTTGCGTGCGCAATTTAAGAGTTACGTCCGCGGTCCTAAGGTGATTTTCCATAAAGTTTAAATGAGGTTTAAAAAGACTATTAGGCGCTGAAGAACTAATGCTTTCGCAGTCCTACGCTCCCGAAGTAAGAATTAGTCATAGAAAACGAGGTGTACAAATGCTACTCGCACAGTCCCGTAATCTCGAACTCAATTGTCGTCACGATTCGGTGCTTTCATCATAGAAATCAGATGACTGCGGAACTGCAGGAACAGCTTTTAAAAATTGCAAATTCGGTGGTTCTGACTTCTGAAATCTAGCCAACAGTTGGAACTTTAGATAACTTACAGGGTTGACAATGTTTTTGTGGCAGGAGGGACGGGGCGGTAGAAAACATCCTCTTTGCCTACTATTCCTCATCTCGGCCATGTCCCTCTCCCTCTCTCTAGGCGCCACCTTCCCCTTTCCTCTTCTCGTTCACTTTCCTCCTTGCGCTCTACTTCTGTACGTAATAATTCCATTGCGTCTTTAATTTCAGACGTCTGAAAGACAGAAGCCAATAAAATTTCTACGTCACATTTTTCACCAACTACAAAATTTTACACTGCCTGCACTTTTTGTCTAACGAAGAATAGCAATTTTTGAATAATACATGATTCTACGAGATGTAAATAACTAAGTTGCTTAAAACTAAAGCAAAAAATTGCCTTAAAACCGTTATTTACTTCCGGTTGTGAGATAAAAGGACTTTTCCAGCTACCCAGCAACCTTAGTGTTATCTACGGAAATTTGGTGGAGCAGGATGAAGTGGTGACAACACCGAAGGATTTCCTCCCGTTAACGAATCCAAAGATGATCAACGATTGAGTTTCTGGACACTAAGCTGCTCGAAGATTGAAGAAAAAGGCATGAAAAATCAGTTTGTTAAATTATGGCCGTGCTTAGGGTTATCTACTCTGGGAGATGACTGAGAAATGTGTTAATCAACAATTCGGAGAGGGCGAGTTGGAGCTGCAATGCGAAGATGCATGTTGTTCAAGTTGTGATATCAAAAAGAAAAGAGACTTCAACTTAAGCAAGTGACCATCCTTCTTTCAAAAGCCATTGTTGACCATGAACAACTGACAGTCCATAAGAATGGTGAGAAAATGAAGAAGTTAATCGAATGACACCCGAAATGTAGCACCAATTCTGTAGGTTTAGGGTGTATAGACATCAACGTCAATATATCAAGATGCGATCCATTTAAAAAGATGTTGAGACAATATAAAGTTTCTGAGGAACCATGTATTGCGCATATGGTGTGCCTATCGCCTTGCAATGACAATGGAGGGCGATGATTTGGTGCTGTACCTGGAACTCGACACAATCACAATAAACCGGCCAGCTCTACACATCATGTCAAGCAAAGAGGACGGAAGATCGCTTCCACGCTACTAAAAGGGCAATCTGCAAAGGGAATGTGACAACGTCGTACAAATAATCACGCTAGCAAAGGACCAAACGAATGCGCACAAGTCTTGACAAGAGTGGTGACGAAGGTCCACTAGATATGCACAAACATATTAACTAGTAAAATAAAACTAAATGGAACAACCTTTATCAACCGTTTAATTGAAGTGGAATATAACGAGAAGGACAGGTAAAGTACTGGGGATGGAGTGAAGAACAAATCGTGGCCTTAAGAAAACATGAAGGATACTTGGTTAATTTTGCCGATTGAAGTGACAATGATGAAATTGAAGGGTGGGTCAGACTGGATCGAGGATTTGAACACTAAAGCTATCGATAAACATTTGCTCAACCTCTGTACAACACCTGAAGTCACACCTTCGAAATTAGATACAATAATGGCTGGAATTGCCCCAGAGCGTTACGCTCTCCAAAAAATAATTAGAGGCACGTCGCTTGGCTGAAGTCATTAGAGCAGTGAAGAATGGTTCTAATGACAAATGACTAGAAGTAAAATAGTAGGATTTGACAATGAAAATTTTAACGATTATTTTTAAATATTTAATTAACTTTTTTAAATACTCTCTTTCGCACTGAAGAAGGTCCTAGTGTCTGGTAATTCAATGGCTCAAAGGTAGGTAAAACTTTACAAAACGAGTCCACTTGGTCAGAGGATGATAACCCACGGCATGGCCAGAAATCAAAAGAACGCAAACGCGACAACAAAATAGGCAAGAGGCACTCACGGCGTACATTTTGGGTAATGCTATAAAGCACGCATTGCGGGAGAAACGCTCGCGTAATCTCTCACTCACCACAAACGATGGCAATATGTGTATTACTTTCATCGATACTATGTTACCTTTTAGTTCATAATTCCTTTTGTTTTTATTTGTTTGTTTTTAAATCCAATATGAATTAGGGATGATATAAATAGGCGGAATTTTCTGACTCTGTCAAGTAAAAAGCAAACAAAATTGGCTACCCACCCGAGGTAGAGCCCTGTCCTGAAGACAAAGATCAAAACAACACTTTTCTAAGAATGTCGTTGCGTTAACCACCTCAAGCAAATTTGTTCATCAGAATTTGGCAAAATTTAGGTGCACAGAAAAATTGGCTAATTCTTATGCAATTCATGTTAGTTGGGATAGAATTTGGTCTCTCGCTAATTATTTTAATTATTCAAGGTATTCTTTTTTCGCTTGCCAAGACTTTCCCCACGGAAAAGTTGGAAACTTGATTCATAAGAATTTGGCACAAAATTAGGTGCAGGAGAGAACGGAATAGTTCCAAAAATTTTTGTTAACGATATAAGTTAGGTTTTTACTTAATATTCTGCTTTTTTTGATCACCAGGACTTCCCCAGTAAAATTGTTCCACGCCCCAGCGTAAGCCCCACGGCCACCCTCATCGCAGCCCCATCGAAAAATGCACAAGCACCGCCACCACCAGAGAAGACGATGGGCTGAGCTACTGCAGTGACAGTACCTTGCTCCCAGAGGAATTGGATCTTCTGGGCACTTAGAGGGATTTACTAGAGAAAATGAGGGAGGCCCAACATGATGGGACTGAGATAATAAAAGAGGTACGCATGCAATGAGTTTTTAATTATTTTATATTATGGCTACCAAAATTTCCATTGAAATAAAGTTTGGAAAATTTTGCGTCAAGACGTAATGGAGATGGGGAAACTCTCAGAGGAAGAGTGGTTCTTATATGATCATTCTATTTAAAAGATCTCGGAATGTGTACAAAATTTTACTATGCACTTGATATTTCATTAGTTATCTTTTAAAACTTCATGAACCTGATTTTCTGTTCAGCTGGTAAATTTCCAGAGACCAAAACCGTTATTTGATTGTCGAATGGACAGGTCCTATGTTTACTGTTTATCTTAAAGGCTAACTTTATCACTCATTTTCATATTTGTGAAGCAACACTTTTCTACAGTTGACTTATTCAATCAATAAAATTTGTAAAATTTTGAGTTACCGATGTGTTAGCCCCTTCACTTTCCAGAATGGCCAAAAAGGTATTCGATGCTTTATATTTGAAACCTTCTGGCCACTATATTTGTCTAATCCCATCACATGTTCAAAATTGAGACGAGAAAGCTACTTTGTAACCATTTGTATCACCAGCCACTTCTTGTGGAGCTTTTTTAAAAACAATAACATTTTTCCACCTGATGCACAATGATCTCAATGGCTATCAAGATAAAACTGTATACAATCGTACCACCAACTTATTTTTTCCACACAGATCCATCCATTTCCTATTATATTCTGCCTTACCTGGTGAGAACTTCCAGAAAATGTCCTAACCATTGAGCATCTGGCTCATCAGGTAAAACCAAGACTTGTATATTAGTAATTATTGAAGAAATTGTTAATTTTCTTGTTTTTATCACGTCTGGCAATAACTGTAAAAATATAAATTAGATATTAGGAAGAGGGGAGGAGAAAATGCACACCTCACTAAGTCGGTTACAACGACAAGAAGAATAAAACAATTACATGATATACGTTTTACCTCCCTGATTTCGTTTCAGTCTACTTTATGACACCCAACTTAAATCACTTTAGATGAAATTTCTCATGGCATAAACAATCAAAATTTTAATGAAGTTGCAATAATTTGTTTTTTTAAAGAGGAAAGTATTACAAAGAGCCCATGTGGAAGTACATCTAATGATGATGTATTTTGTATATTCGTTTTAACGTTGGTTTAGTGACTATGTATGACCATATTGTTTCATTGTTGCCAACATTTTAATTACTTTTATTTCATCCAACTCCTTGACATTTTCAGCCCAACAATTATCTCACGGGCTGATATCCTGATATAAATTTTTTTAAATAGCGATGTTTTGAAATCTTTCTCAACTCAAACCATACCATTCAACACGATCGACCGTTGTCAGAATTTTGGTTCATTGAGCAAATTCCATTGTCAGAGAACCAGATGACTTGAGAGAAAAACCAGCCTGGGGAATTCTCAAAAAATTATTGAAGCAAGATGTTGCTTTCCTTGCAACTTGATGGACGAGTTTGACTTTACATCATATCCACTAACTGAAGGCACTAAATTCCCTTTTAATGAAGGGACGTAATTTGTCTTTACTGGACGATTCTACAAGTATGCCTTAGAATCGTAGTTTGGAAGCCAAAGAAAAGTTGGAAAGAGATATGAAATTCCAGTTATGCGACAACAGCCATAGCATTCAGCGCCCTGTTTTAGTTCAGTCAGGAAACACCAGGAGCGAAAGATAGAGGCAGGGATGGGAGAATGTACACAATGACCCTCCTCCACGAGGAGGCAAACTCATCACATTGCACCGGTTTTAATCCTTCTTATATTTCTTTAATTTTCCGCAGGAGAATTAGGCAAAAGAATTGAGAAAAGCTAGTGGCATGCCACAATATATGGAAATTAAGTAAATTATATCAATTGCATGTATTATGTGAATACATGTTGTACGTGTTCATTTTGTAATATATTTAGTCTTGGTTTAAATTTTTCCTCTTTTATTGCTGACATTTGCTCATTTATTTTCTCAAGACATGTTCCATTTTTACTCTTAATATAAGGTTGTGTAATACAGAGATACTTTATCTCACCCAAATGGGCTTCCAGGATAAAGGCGCATTGCACAATTAAAATATACATACAATAGTGGAAAAACAACTGTCAAATAAGAAATTAACTTGTTCTCTAAATGATTACTGACATGAACATTGCAATGTTCATTCTGGAACAAATTATTGCGTAAGCAATTCATTAGCTACCGCAAGAATATACAGGTATGTTGAATTTTCATTCTTGTTGTACTTTTTCTGAACAACTTTTTATTTTTTATAGACATATTTAAGTAATTTGTAGTTTTCAATTATAATTTCCCTTCTGTGAAGCGTTTTTGGACCACTGGGAAAAGACGCTATAGAAATGTATATTGTTATTATTATTATTAATATTAGTAGGCGATATAAATTTACATATGTATACAATTTATTTCTTAAACAATGCTTTTGAACGACTTTTAATTCAGAAAGAGATTTTTCTCACGTATTGACGTGATCATAGTCCGAAGAATAAAATTCTGAGTCCTCAGATCTTCAAACTCCGCCCTCCAATGCCCTACCATAGAGACTATGGCAAGCCAGGCCACTACTGAGTTCAATAACTCAGTAGACTCGCGCCGTACGTAAAGCATTTTCCGACATGATTACTTCTCGTATGCAGCTTCAATCAGCCTTTTTTAAAATTCTCTCTTGTTTGCGAACAATTCTTTCCTTGTTCTTGACTTATTTGTAAGATTTTATGCGTATTTCATACGGAGGGAACTTTCTAAAGAACGCGAAATTCTTTTAGGTAGATAAGTATACAATAGGACTACTTGATCTGTGCCTCTTGCAAAAAGTTTCTTTTACTTCTACTCTCTTATATTCCTGATTTTTATTCATGGTTTATATCAAATATCCATAAAGCTTGTCCTTAATATCATGCTAAGTACTTTTTTCGATTTAATTCAATCTTTTGTCTTTAGATATCTCAACTTCTGTGCTGTGATGCAAGAAATCAAAGTATGCAAACTCTTTGAAATCGCGCAATTTTCTTTCTACCGCATACTACACCTAAATTACAATATCAAACTTTTTTGGAACTTCAGTTGTGAATTTTAAATATACGCCCCCAACTGTGAATATTCTCCCCTCTAGGAATACGTTGAATCAATGCATTGACTCCCTGTGACTTCAATAAAACCACCTCTGATTATTGATTCAATTTGATTACTGAGAAAGGTTCGTTCGCGAAATTTGCGAACATGCATTCACTAATCGTAAATACTTTACCTTTCGGTTGACAAACTTGCTTCTTGATCTCCTTAGGTGTCGAGCTTTCAATGCCACATGTCGAACTTGTTCTTCTGATTTTGCGGTTCGTGGGGCGTTGAATTCAACTGCTGCACTTGTGGGTCCCGTCAGCAACTGCTCCTATTTGGAACTGTTACACTTTAACACAAATATCTTTGGCTATGCAAAGAAATTTGACAACTGTGCTTTGTCAAGATTTGCAAACTTCTCCTCACCACTAATGTGTTTCGTGATGTACAGGTACAGACGTTTTTCTGTTACAGTTTAACCGTAGAGCGGAGTAAGGTTGGTTTCACTGTAAAAGGCTAGAAAACATTGACTCCAGGATTACAAAGTCACATACGACCTGCCGTGGTGATTGAATGTGAAAATAGACGAGGACTCCTTCACTTTTGTACAACAAGGAAACAAAGCGGACACAATTTATTGCATGCTTTCGTGGAACATAAAACGAACGCGAAAACTCCTCTTCGATTGTATTATTATTTAGATTTTATGTAGGTGGCTGAACAGGAAAATTAAGCGAAAGAATGTCGAGAAAAATAATCTATCATGTACGATGATGTCATTTACTTCAAAGGTACTTCAAAGCCTCGTTTGCGCCATAGTATATTGGATATTTGTATATTGCATTTCGCTTCCTCTCACCAAGACAATTCTTCGCGACCACCAACAATTTATGAATACTAATGATTTGACTTCGATGACTTTCGACAAAATTTCTTCGCGGGAGTTGTTAACAATAGGGCAGTGGTGTAGAAGCGTACTAAGTTGCACTAAGCAATTTGATCAGGAACAGGGGGCCATTTATTGATACGTAGTATCAGTTGTGTAAGTTCGTTTGCCCTTAAAAATTCTATCTGTTGAGGTGGACTCTTGGTAAAATTTCCGCACAGCCCCATACTATTGTAAAACAGATCTATTTCCCAATGGCAATGTATTGTTTTTGTCATTGTTTTCTCTATCCAAGAACTGAATGCATAATGTAGTCTGGGGCTGAGCGGAAATTTTACCGGACTCTTTAAGTCGCCCGAAATAATTACCTCCAAAAAGTGTCCCATGGCTTTTTGTAAAACATCTTGCAAGGGACTCGTGAAGTGTTTGATTATTAAACAAAACAAACCAAATAATTTTTGTGATTTATTTAAATTTGCTACAGAACTTCGCTTCTCCGCTCTCGACTACCACTCTCTGAAACCAAAATTATTTTTCTGTCTGTTTTCGTCTGTTTTTAGACGCCTGTAAAGCTTTCAAACCGCTCGCGTCGACTTTTTTGGTCGAAAGCTCTCAAGACTTGTTTGTCACGTCTAGTCTACCAGAATCCCTTTGCTTAGTAATTAAAATCGCTTTTGTTTAAAGCTTTCGCTTCTACGTTTTCTCTATATTTTTTTCTGTTGTCACTGACTTGCACGACTGAGGGCTGAGTGGTCTTCATTGAAACAAACCTCGTCAAAATCAACTGGTCCAATAACGAAATCAATAGCAATGAAAGGCGGATGTACTCTTAAATTAAATTTTTCATTTTCAAGTCATTCGCATTTTGTTCTTTACAAATCATATTCGTAATTGACTTCGTGTCGTACAATTCTGGGTAATCATGCTCGAAATTTCAAGTCAGCCTTGCGCTTAGCGCTCGGCCAATTTGAAATCGATGGGATTATCAACTGAGTTGACAACGTAAATTGGCCACTGTAAAGAGTTTCGAAGATGACGTTTCGAGCGTTAGCCCTTCGTCAGAGCGGATGGAGAATGGAGAAATTGTGTGTGTGTGTGTGTGTGTGTATACCTAGGTAGAAAATGGAGCGACGCTATTGGTGGGAACATGGTAACGAAAAAAAAAAAGTCTAAAATAGTTGAATGAGAAGCGTTCGTTGAAATCGTGGGGATTAAGAGTGCCGATTTCAAAGGAAAATTCGCAGCTTTCCGAACTGCCTAGCTGTAGGGAAAGGCCACAGACTGCCATATGCTGCTTAGGATGATTAGGGAGATTAAAATATTTAGCCACTGGTTTGGATGCGTCCTTGTCATTTCTTTCTACGTCGCGAAGGTGTTCTCGGGTCACCTAGTCATCTTCCTGTTTCACCAATGTATACCTTTTTGCAGTAGATAAACACCGAGCGGTGTCAGACTCTCCCACCGACGAAACGGACCCCCTTTTATCAATTTTAAATCAGTCGTCTTGTTATTCACTGAATTGTACTCCATCATTTTAAGATTGTTACTAATTAACATTGACTCAAACGTTTCAAAAAAATGCACGCTACTATTCTCGTCCTTCAGGTTCTGAAAACTTATGAAATCATGATCAACGTGCGTCTCCATAAGTGATCAACCAATAAGAAAAACTGCCTTATGTTAATTAATTCAGGCAAGCTACTTCAATAAAAAACACACGCAAGGTTATAGTTTTCTTTCACCCAAGGGGTTAAATAATGCACGTACACTTTGGGTTGGGCTAATTTCGATATAGGCCAAAGTTACTGATTAAACGATTGTTGAAGGAAAATTTTTTGAGGGGTGCTCAAAAATAAGTAGTGCGAAGGGCTCGGAAATATGCGCATTCCTCAGACTTTCAAAGGTCCCGTTGCATCGTGGGTTTGTGTTATATACACTTACCGGTAATAGAATTACCGACCTATTCTGAATTAATCTTGAACGATGGAGAGAACCGCAGAGAGTATTCGAGGTAAGTCTACACTGTCATCATTATGTGACCAGCTTCTGTAAGATAAGATCTCTAAATGAACAGAAACCTCAATCGGATATGCACTGTCCGCCTGTTTGTTACTTTAAGCAAACTGAGTTACTGTACTTGTTTTGAATTTCCCGCGGAAAGATGGTATAGGGCCCGATAGAGATCAGCTCGGATTCATTGTTGCTCTCAACAATGGTCAGATTTAGTAGTTTTGAATGAATAGGAGTTACTGGTGTATTCCGTTTCAGTGACAACTTGATCAGTAAAGATCTTGCGACAAGATGAGAGTCGTAGCAGCTTTTTAAAATGTCACGTTCTGGACGCCAATGTCTAATCTCTCTAAAGCCTTTCACGAATCGTTCAGTCTTTTACTTCTTTGAAAGCAACAGTGAAGTTTTCATAGATTATACCGATCACTAAAGTTAGATCGATGAATGAAGTTTTGTAGAGGACTGGAAACCATTTGGCTTCTGTTTATTCCGTGGGTATTCGTCTCTTCGATTAACCTGAAAAAGAAACTTGTGAATTTTAACGAAAAAAATTTCCAAAGGATAAGGCGAGCTCTGTCCATCGTTAACGGTAAAGAAACGAAATAAGATGATTTTCTGGAGATAAAGCCTGTTCGTGTTTCTAAAATGTCGTTTTCTTTGTTGTTTTTGTTACAGACGAGATGATCATGACAGCTTTTGTGACAGTAGCTGTC